GAGCCTCCAGTTCCAGGCTGTGCAGGGGAGATTTGGAATGAGGTTCCACACCCAAGGAAACATGCACTTGGGAGAAGAGGTGGTAGGTCCAAAGCAGAAACTTTCCCTAGACATTCAATGGGTCCCCCGGGAAGACCCTCTTTTTCAGAGCCTTGTGGAGGGGATTTGGATCAGGATAGTCCACCTGGAGGTCTTTATGCTCCTCCCCCTGGCCGTTTCCCACAGCCCAGAGCATTTGCCCTGCCCTGGGCCAGGACTGTGACCATCACCCTTGCTCGGTCTAGACAAGTTATGCCATATTTACCATTCCCCATAAAAGATTTTCAGGGAGAAAAGAAAAACTGGATCAATCAATGTACACGAGGCTCTGAAGATATGTACTGGTTCGGAACCTTCACAATGTTGGGGAAGGTACATCTCTGACCCTCAGTAATAATAGCCATATACACTGACCAAGCTTTTTACAGACAGGTCCCATCAAATGGGGACTCACACCAATGCTTTCACCTTGTACTGTTATGAGGCCCATTTTACAGCTGGAGAAATCCAGACTTTGAGTGTCCATGTTTTCATTGGGTAGCAGGATATGTATTCAAACCGAGTTTCCTGTGGGTGCAAAGCCTCATCCCCCCAGCGGCCTGAATTTTCTTCCTGACAGTCAAGGGGAATCCAGCTGTCCTCCCACCTGATGCCTCAGGTCACATAATGGAGAAAACACAGCGAAGCCAGGCATCACTGCCCATGAGAGACTGACACAGGATTTTGCCCACATGGCCTCCTTAGTGATAGGGTAACAGGCAGGAAGGCCAGAGGTCTTCAAACAGAGGAAATAAGCTGCAAGTGTCAGACATTTTTGTCTCTCTTAAGTGGCAGGAGGAAACAAACTAGTGATATTTTTTCCTTCTTTATACAAATTTAAAAGGAGGTTTCTCTTAAAATACTGTGTTGCCATAATGACACCTGGTTTCACCTGAAGTTAACTATTCTCAAACCTTGAGTTAACTAATGCATTTTTCTGGGAAATATTTGTCTTAAGCTATGTTAATGTACTATGCATTTACCCCAGACTCTGTCTTCAAGTCGGTTCTGCCTAATGGTTCAGAACCTACTTGACAAACCATTATGTTATACTCAGATATTGTTCCCCTAATCTATGTAAATGAAACTATTTGTATGGTAATCTGCCCTTCTACAAGATTCAAGTCAATTTTTTTATGGCTCGGGATGAATTGTCTGGTGCCAAGATTATCCCAAAATACATCTTATGGATGAGGGGCCTGGTGCCATTCTGAGTTTTAAGACATTCCTTTCTTTCATTAACAGACTGCTAGTGACTATATAACATCCAGCTGAAGACTAACAGGAGGGTATTCTTTCTGCCCCCTTCTGATGCCTATGTCAGAAGCTCTCTCTATCTCCTTTATACTTTAATAAAACTTTATTATACAAAAGCTCTGAGTGATCAAGCCTCGTCTCTGGCCCCAGATTGAACTCTTCTCCTCCGGAGGCCAAGAATCCCGGCGTCTTTTGGTGGGTCAGCAACAAACTTTCACTAGCCCCATCAAGACACCATCCCTACTGAAGTGGACACAAGAGCCATAGAGGAGGGATAGGGTGTAGGACTGAGTGTGTGAGGATGGAGAAAGTTCTTGAATGTAGGGGTTGGAGGCACAGCCAGCTAAAGATGGCTCTTATGTTCAGACTACAACCCTGCTCTCTCATTCCACCGCCCCCTCTCCTCCCCTGTCTCCCAGCTCTTGGGGATTCCAAGCTCTCCTGCAGTCTCACTGCCCAAGGCGGACTGGATCTCAGGCAGGGGGAAGCCTGTCCTTTAAAGCACAGTGATCAGGGGGCTGGTGGACTCTTACAGCATCCACAGTGTGGTGAGTATCTGTGTGAGTATCAGGGCTGTGTGGACACACCTACGTCTGGGTAATGGAACATACAGAACATGCTTCGTACATATACCTGGTATCACCATATATAAGTATATAAGAACATATAATCTCCAGACATTATACATATATATTGGACACACACCACACTGACATCTGAAATGTATTCCTCTCTGTGAATGAGAATTAAAAAGTTAAAATCATGGCACTCCAGTTGGTAATATCTAATCATCAAAGCAAGGGTTCCCCTAACTCACCTGCTGCTGTTTACTCTCTTCAGCTGAAATATCCTTTCTACAAAATATTTCCGAAGTCTGGTGACCAGTGAAGGGGTTCCCATGAGAAGATGTGTGGTTCCATGTGCTCCCCCATAGTCATGGGTGCCACGGCCCCCCATCAAGCATCTCTGTCGGGACTGCAGCCTTCTCTAAAATGTCAAGGAGGCCCCCTCCAGTGAGGACAAGGGGGTCCAGTTACCCCAGAACAGAGGGTCCCATAGACTACAACTTCACCTCTAGTGGGAATCCTGGAGACCTGGGGCCAGCCTGTCAGACCTAGCCCCCCGTCTGGCTTCTTCAGTGAACTCCTGGAGTCAGAGGCTTGTCTCATGTGGACAGAGGGAGGGGCCCACATCCTGCAGAAACTCTAAGTGAGGACCAGAGGAGACTGAGGGTTCCCAGGGGATGCATGTGTGGCCCTCCTGACAGCCCTGAGGGACCACAGGGCGTGGCATCCAGATGTGAAATTACTGATCCCGCTGGGAGGTGGGGAAGTGAGTGCCTGGGTCACAGACCTTGGGTTCAGGTCAGCAGAAGGAAGGAGCCTAGCTGTGCTAGGAGTCAAGGTAGAACCCTGAGGGGGCCTCTGGTGCCCCCGGACATCCAGGTCGTCACTGCTTTTAGCCCTGGGAGATCCTGGCAGGGTTGTGGGAATGAGCCCCCCACCCCGGTTTCCCTCTCAGTTGTCCTGGCTCAAGAGGGCCTGGGTCTCTAAGGGATACAAAATCAGGTGGGCAGAGGGTGGCAGTGCCCAGACTAGCTGAGAGTCGTGGCGAAGAGTATAGGGAAGGCTGAGTGACTCGCAGGACATCATCTCAGCCCATGGCATCCTAAGCCACGAAGAAGTCCTTGGCTTGGTCCCCTGATGTAATGTCCACAGCCTCCTCCTGGGGCCTCAAGGCAATGAGGCCCTTCTGTGAGGGTCTGGTCTCTGCTGAGGACTTTGGCATCCCAGGATCTGCCAAGGCTAAGGATGAGGACCCAGAGGGAGAACACAGGTGACCCCATAGTTCCACTCTTCTACTGCCAGCCCTGGGCATCCCTGGTGGTGGGATGGGGATGAGCACTTCACAGGGTGTTCTGACTTCACTATCAGGGTCTCAGACAGATTGGGGACCTAGGATAAGGGATGGGATCTCACATAGGCAGAGGGGAGTGTCCAGGTCCTCCAAGAAGTCAAAGGGAGTATACTGACGGAGGACTCAGGGGACCCTGGACCCCAATCTGAGGTGACCCCACAGATCCCGACCCCTACCTTCGGCCCTGGGAGGTCTCGGTGTGGAATTTGTGCTCTAGGCCTGTCCTCAGTTTGTGACATCCAGGTTTCAGAAAGACTGTGGACCTGGTTAGAGGGCCAGGGCCAGGTTTGGGGTGAGGAGAGAATGCTAGGTCCTGCCTGGAGACAAGATAAGGTCCTGAGGGAGGACTGAGGTGGCCACAAGGGAAGACTGATAAGACCCCAGAGAACAACCCCCCCCCCCCCCCGTCATCTGCCCTGGGAGACCCTGCGGTGAGAAGAGCACACTAGGCCTGTCCTGACTTCCTGACATCCGGGTCTCAGAGAGACTGGGGTGCTGGTGTGAGGAGCCGGGCCTCAGGTGGGGAGAGGACGGAGCCCAGGTCCTAGTGGGAATCAAGTTGAGGACCCTGAGGGAGGTCTGAGGGAAGCCAGACCCCAGAACACAGGGGACCCTGGTAATCCTGAGGCAGGACGACTTCATGCAGCATTTCCTGACATCCGGGTCTCAGAGAGACTAGGGACCTCGTGAGAATAGTGGGGCCTTAAAATGGCAAACAGGAGAATCCCTGGCCCTGCCTGGAGTCCAGGATCCATGTTAGGAAGGACTGAGGCTGTTAGACCCCAAGGCAGGGAGGGATCCTGGCCCTAGTGGTGGATGTTGCAGCCCCCAGAGTGGGTTGAGCAGTTTATTGATCTCTGGCTTAGGGGCCTCTGGAGGTGAGGTGTTAGGGCAGAGGGTGGAGGCTTCAGATCCACAGAGGATGGACTCCCGAGACCCTGAAGCAGGATTGAGTAGACCTCCCACCTCTGTGGTCAGTGTTAGGAGGCCAGGAGGGATGTGAGGAGGAGGTGAGCACCTAGCATCTTCCCAGCCTAGGACCCGCAGGAGGCCCTGGGCAGGTGACGCCACACGTGGGGGCCCTCAGTGCTTTCTGTTCAGACTCAGGTCTTGTTCTGAGTTTCCCTGCAGGGCCCCAAAGGGGAGGGACCAGGCCATGCCAGGGGAACAGTGGGCAATACAAGGAAGCCCCGAGGGGACCAGCCACCCCACAACTGGGTGACCTCACAGAGTTCACCCCTTCTACCAGCACAGAAAGCTCGTCTGTGCCACAGACTACCCCCTCTGTGCCCCCTCCATTTCTGATACAGGAGCTCCAGAAACCAGGAGGTGAAGGCTGAGGTCTGAGGCCCATGTCAACAGGTCAGAGAGCAGAGGAGGTCCAGGTAGTGTTAAGAGTCAAGGTGAGGAGGGTGCCCTGAGTTCTCCCCATCCCAGCAGAGGGGAGCCCACAAGGCCCTAATCCTCCCAGCATGTCAGACCCAGAACCTCACACTGTGCTGACTGCAACCTGTGGAGCCACCTCACGTCCTCCTTTGGGTAGCCAGGGGTCAGGCAGATCTGGAGGAGCTCTTCTATGAGACCTGAGAGCACCCCTCAAGAGGAGACCTGTCAGAGGCCTGATTCAGACAGCCCAGGGTGGGTTTTCAGCTGAGGCTGCTCGCAACCCCCCTCTCCTGCATACCTGGGGTCCCTATCTGTCCCCCTGCCTCACTTCTGCCTGCTGTTTGACCCCAGTCATGCCTGGGATGCATGAGCTCCGCCAGCCTGAGAGAGTCTTTCACGATCCAAGAGAGGATGAGGGTCTGATGGAGGCACAGTTCATTTGGGATGAGGAGGAGGAGCAGATGAAGGAAGGAGATGCAGCATCCTCCTCCTCCTCTCTCCCGGTCTGGGGCACCCTGGAGGAGGTGGCTGCTGCTGCAATATCCAGTCTCCAGAGTCCTCTGGGTGTCTTCCCCTCTCCCACTGCCATGGCTTCCACTCTTGGGAGCCAATCTGAAGACAATGGCCTCAGCAGGCAAGATGACGTGCCAAATACCTCGTGTGACCAGGAAGATGCCAGGTCCTCCCTCCGAGATGCACTATGGGTGAAGAAGAAATAGCTGGTGCAATTCCTGCTCAGCAGGTATCTTGCCAAGGAGTCAATCACAAAGGCAGAAGTGCTGAGTAGTGTCCTCAAAGATTACCAGGACCACTTCCTAGTTGTCCTCAGTCAAGCCTCAGAGTACCTGCAGCTGATCTTTGGTTTGGAGGTGAAGGAGGTGGGCCCCAGTGAGACCACCTATATTCTTGTCCCCACTCTGGGCCTCACCCTCAATGAGATGCTGAGGGATGGGCAGGGGTTGCCCAAGGCCGGCCTCCTGGTGGTGATCCTGTGCTTGATCACTGTGGAAGACAGCCATGCCCCTTGAGGAGGAGATCTGGGGAGCACTCATCAGGATGGGGGTGTCCTGGGAGGGAGCGCTACATCTATGGGGAGCCCAGGGTATTGCTGACCCAAGTGTGGGTGCAGGAGGGGTACCTGGAGTACCAGCAGGTGCCTGACAGTGACCCTGCTTGCTATGAGTTCTTGTGGGCTCCCTGGGCATGTGCAGAGACCAACAAGTTTAAAGTTCAGGAGTATCTGGACAGTCAGTTGAAGGGGTCCCAGCTCCTTCCACCCCCTCTGCAGAGGCTGCGAGGGAAGAGGAAAGGGGACTCTGAGCCAGAGCAGCAGCCAGGCTCCTTCCAGGCCCACATCCAGCAGCTTGTCCTGGGGGACAGGAAGGGAGGCTGATCCTTCCCTCTATGATTGAAGAGGGAGCAGTTAGCCTTCTCAGCAGTGAGAGCCCGGGCCTGTTGGGGGAACCCAGTGTGCAGCATCTTTGTGTTCCTGTTCTCTACAATGACATGGAGACTCATCTCTCTTTTCTTTAGGAATTTTTCAAAAGTTATTCCTTTTTATAGAAGATGATGCATCCCGGTTTCTAACTATGTCAGTGACATTGATCACCATGTGTTTGTACTTAGCCAGTTCAAGAACAAGTTTTCTCTTTTGTAAAAGAGATTGGAAATGCTTCCATTCTATTTCATGGTCCTGCACAAGATAACAGGAAATTAGAATTAGAACAATTTTAGAAATGTGCATTTATTTAGCAGTGACATAGTTGGTGGAAGAATTAGAAAATAAAAAGTGATAGTAGTGAATTCTTGCTTTTTACACTTGTCGCATGTCATTTTGTATAGCTAAGGGATCTCGGTTTATTTGGATTTGCCCGGGTTATCAAAGGAAGTGGCAAGTAATCTGAGTCCAGCAGCCCCCTGCTCACTGGCTTATTTAATCTGCAGACTTTTATGGGGCCTCTGCTCCATGAGAGGCCCTGTGTTAGCCGTGGGGACACTGGGAGAAGCAGGGCAGCCCCACACCTAGAGTGATGATCTAGGAGCCACAGTCATATGAGGTGCATTGTGGGAGTGAGGGGAAGTGGGATATTGCTATGAGGTGTCCCTTTGGATCTTGGATAAACACCAGAGAGATCTCCTTCTAGGTCAGGATGGAAGGGGTCCTGGCTCTTGTCGCATTTCTGCTGACCACAGGGATGCAGTAGCTGTTTTCTACCCTGTATCTGCTAGGAATCCTGCAGAACTCTGGTCCCACTCCCTTGAAGTAATGCCTAGAAATCCATGGACTGACCCTCTCTTTCCTGGTCCCGGGGACCCAGAACTCAAGATGTTAACAAGCTTTTAATATTCTTGATTATCATTGGGCATTGTAATCAGAGTCGACATTTATTGGCACTGCAATGATGAAAATAAGGGTTGGGATGGAAGATCAGCTGGGACACAGGCAAAGAGTGGTTCTTGCTTCTATTTCCTGGAGCAGCTTGGGTCCTGCTGGAACACTCCTCCACACTCAAATTTCACAGTTCCTCTAACTGGAAATGGGGTTGCTCGGTAGCTCAAATGATGAAGAAACAGCTTGTGTTGTGGGAGAGCTGGGTTCGATTCCTGGGTCAGGAAGATCCCCCTGGAGTAGGGCATGGCAACCCACTCCAGTATTCTTGCCTGGAGAATTCCATGAACAGAGGAGCCTGGCAAGCTCCAGTCCATGGAGTTTCAGAATCAGACATGACTGAGCGACTAACACTATGGTCCACTATGGTCTAACTAGCAAAGTTTTTGGTTTTATTTATGAAACATCCTATTGAGGTGAATATCCTCTGACCTGTCCTGGACCACAAAGCAACCAGCTCCATCCAGTGGAGAGTGGAGGAGTGTCTGGGGGCAACGGTGTGAGAAATTCCTGCCCTGCCATCACAGGGTTAACAGCCGCCAGGCCTTGAGCTCTGTGTCGTCCCTCACACGCATCCTGCAGCCCAACACACGGGGCTCCTCACACCCGCTCGCCTCCCAGATGAAGAACTGAGGCCACGGGCCTTGGGCATCTTCCCAGGAACATGTGCTAGTGAGGGTCTGGGTGGTCTCAGAGCCCCGGTCTCAATTCCTCTGGAGCCCCCGCCCTTCCTGCCCACCCCAGGCCATGGCCCTACCTTCCAACTTCTCCTGCCTTCTTCTTCTCAGTGCTACACGATGCCTCTGAGGTGACAAAAAGCAGGCCCACGGATGGAAAGGGATGAGGAGGATCAGAAGTACTGTGGGGCTGCTCTGGGGTTTGCTAAGACCTAACTCTGCCGGGGGCTGGCATCTCTGTCCAAACCCAGCACCTCCTGCCTGAGGGTGGCGCCCTGTCCCTGCTGCTGCCATGGGGCCTCCTGCCCAGCTGAACCTGCCAGGCTGACCAGCTCCTCACTGAGCAGGAGGAAGGGAGGGTTTTGACTGAATGGCCCCAGTGCCCACTGGATAAGGCCCCTACAGGAGCCTCCTCCAATATGGGAGGGAAGGTAACATGGGCAGAACCCTGAGCCTCCAGGTCTCCCCAGCCTCAGCGAGGGAGAGGAGCAGCTGGAGGGTCTCTGAGCTGCAGACACTGGAGTGGAGATGCCAAGTGCAGGGGCAGGACAGCAAGGCTGAGAAAGGCAGGCCTTAAGACATGATGAGGGCTTGTGTGTGCACAATACAAGTGTCCCAAGCCACAGCTGACAAAGACCTCTCAGCTCCCAGCCCCATCCTTTCCCATGCTCTGCAGATCCCCCATCTTAGCCCATGGCTGTTGAGGGCAGATCCGTGCTAACCTGTCTGGCCTTGGCCCTGGGGCCACCCTGGACCAAGTAACCTGCTAGGTTACTGTCACTTCGTTCAACTGCTGAGGAGGCACTGAGGGATAGAGAGATAACCCATGACTGCAGGGGACCTGAAAACACACACCTCCATCCTCACCTTTTCCCTTGTACCTGGAGGGGTTTCCCTGTTTACTGGAGCAGGGAGGGGAGGAACAGAGCCGTAGGCCTGAACCTCAGCAGGGTCTCAGCACCACGCAAGGGGGGTCAATTTCCATGCGGCTATGAGGATGGGGACAAGATCCCAGATGAACCCAGCCCACAGCCTCCCAGGACTTTCCTTCACCGAGCACAGCAGAGCCACAGTTCTCACAGGCCCACGAGGCACCACGTGATCAGTTTCCTATCCTGGTGGCCTGCTCTCCTCGCCCCCAGATTCCTCCCGGTTGCCATGAAGGCCATCCTTCCATCCTTTGAACATTCCAGTGTGTTCCTACCTCAGAACTTTTGTAGGGTGTGAGGAGTCACATCGTGTCCCTTCAGAGTCAGGTCTTGGAGTCTCAATCCCAAGTACCTCAGCATGACCTTATAGACAAAGGAGAGGTCTTCACAGAGCTGATGGAGATCAAGTGAGCTGATTAGGATGGACCCTCCTCTAACACGATGGCTGTCCCCATACATAGGACAAATTGAGAGACAGAGAGGCACACGGGAGAACTCATGATGAAGAGAAAGGAGGATCTCTCCAAGCTCAGACATGCCCACCATGGCCAGCAAAGCCCCGGAAGTGAGGAGGGGGAAAGATGGGACAGTCTCTCTTCACAGCCCTCACGAGAGCTGATGTCCACTGACACCTCGACTTTGGCTGCCACTCAGTAGACAGCCCTGCTGGGTTCCTGACCTTTGGGGTGTCACCTCCCATGAGTCATGCACCCTGAAGCAGAAGAGGCTCCTCCTGGGTCCCCCAATGGTGCCACAAGTTTCTAATCAGCAGCTGAGCATCTCCAGCTCCCGATTCAGGGGTCTCCCCAAGAGTCTCACCAGAATGCAGGGTCACCCCACCCACCAAGGGTCTTGAAAACACATGACCCAAGCCCAAAGACAAGTACAAAGTTTCCACAAGGTGAACACTAGCCCTTGTCACTCTGCCCTCACAGCTGTATTTAGGAGCCTGTCTTTGCACATGAGGCAGCCAGGCACCATGTCCAACGCACATGCTTTGTGAGCCAAGAGACACTTTACAGCAGGACAAGGGTCACCTGCAAGGACAGACTGCTGCCTGTTTCTGGGCCTATGAGCCTCTCTGCCTGCTGACACTCAGCCCAGCCCCCAGCCTTCCCCCATCACCCCCTGGACACTGTTCCAAAACAGGGAATTTGGACCAGAACACAGAGGGAAAAACACCAACCGGTTTCCTAACAACACATTTCTCTCAAGCACCCAGACCCAGCAGGGCCAAAATGACTGGCAATGCCATCTTTTCATAAAGGTCAAAGTCCCAAAGACTCTTCCTGAGTAGAAAGCAGCACCTCATGAGAGGAGTCCTGGACCCTGAATACCCACCAAGTGGGCAGCACACCTCAGGGTGGGGTCGAATCAGACTGAACCAGATGGGCATGTACAGGGCACAGCGGCCACTGGACGGTGTCACTATGAGCTGGTCTCTCCATCACCTTCCCCTCGACAGCCCAGCCTGGACAGGCCTCCCTCCCAAAGGGGATCAGGAACTTGAGGATGTCCACCTGGAAGATGTCCTTCCTGGCCCTCCCCAGGACAGGGAGGACAGTGGGAGTCAGCGAGCTCAGTCAGGTAATTCTGTTGCAGGTTGGGTAGCAGGGCTTGATTCTCCAGCTCCTCCACCTTAATGAGACCTAGGTTTGCTGGGCACAGCAAAGTGTCCCCAACGTCCACAAGATCTGTGTGCAAAGACAGGACACAGAAGGAGAAAAAGGTGATTCACAGTCATGCTTACTAGAGACTAAGACCATATCATAGAGGGGACCTGAGTTGAACTGGTCCTTTGTCTGAGCCTTTCAGATGGGCTCACCTCAGCAAACGGAATTCGGAATGAGGCCAATCGAGGGAGGGAGTGAAATGAAAGGGAGAGGCCTGGTGCTCCATGAACCCACGAGGCCACAGGCAGCTCTCAGTCTGCCCACTGCAGGCTGCAGGGACAGAGCAGGAGGGCCCCAGTGGGGAGCCTGTGGGCATCAGGTCCCCAAGCGAATCAC